AAACGACATTTGGGCTAAGAGGAAGAGAAGTTAATAGATGAATCACCCAGCAGGCAGAACAGCCTGAGTTTTGCAGTGGCCTCAATTAGCACGTGATAAAAGGCCCCAGCAATATCATCACTTCATGACAGCGCAAACAGGAAGGACATTCCCCTACTAAAATTTTCATTAGCGTGCTATTAGTAGCAGGGAAGTGGACTTTTCCTCTGGATTACCTTCAGACAAGCAGCATCCCTTCTGAGATAAGAGGAGCAAACCAACCTGGTTCTGATTCCACTTAAAATCCGGAACTAGAACAAAGCCATTGCTAGGATCTGGGTTTTCATGGATGATTCGATCAGCCTCAGCTTTCTTCTCCAGGATATTATACACCCACTGAAAGAGAAATACGCAATTTATAAACCAGCAGAGGAAAAAAAAAAAACAACCCAACACCTCAGGCACATTTAGCCCAAGCTCATGGATTAGTGCATATCTGCTGCAAGTAGAATATTAAAAAAAAAAAGCAACGACTTGATTTAAAAACGACCAAAGGATTTAATGGCTGATAACATTTGTAGCTAATTATCCATAAAACACTCCAAACTCCAGGCTATTAGGAGCACATCAGTGAAAGATATCCCCCTCCCCGATCCCGCCGCGTGGCACGGCACTGCCGGCTAGCTGAATTCTTCAGGGATTTTTATTTTCCTCTCAAGCATTAAGAGCCAGCCGCAGCTGGAGATGAGGTATTGAGCAGAGATGGTTTAGCCCAGGGTAGAAATAGTTGCATTTGCCCCTAAGAGGATTTGGAGAGAATTCTCCCCGATGGGGTCTAGCAATAAACCAGACCTGGCTGCTTTACGTGGCCAGAGACGGCGCTGCCGCCAGCGCCAAGCACCCCGAGGGGCAGCAGCACCCCTCCTGCACGCTCCCACAGGGTGGCAAGGGACAGGTACAGGCATCCACCTCAGCCCCCAGCACAGGCCCCGCCAGGCGGGCAGCGGTGGAAGCCAGCTCTCATGGGGCTCAGCAGGCGCCTCTTGCACCACCATCGGGGTTTTTTACACCTTTTTCCCCCCTCCCAGGCTGCACCGAAACCTTTACAGCTAGGTTTGGGAAGGGGAAGGGGCCGGGGCCGATTTTCTTCCCCATTCACAAAGGAAGGAGCAGATTGCTTGCAAGCCTGAGGTTGGATGCGGCGCTGGCTGCTGGCAGCCAGCGCTCGCTGTGCAAATAAAAAAAAACTGGTGCTTTCTTGCTCCTCCTTCAAGGCAAAGCACCACCCAGAGAAGAGTTTCAGCTAGGAAATGGAAGAGGCCAGGGATAAGCGACAGAATAAGACCAATGGAAGGCATCTTCGCTTTTCCAGGCTGCCAACCCGAGCTGGAGCACCCTTCTTCACACCTCCAAAATGCCCTTTGTGCTCTAGCTTAAGTCTGTCTTCACACTTGGACCGCCAAGGGAGTCCCAGCAGGTAAGACAAAGCAAGCAGAAAGTGCCTAGGGCTTGGAAGCCATTTCAAAACATCCTTTTCCCCATCAGATTTAGGTATGAATCATTCTGGTTGCCCCAGGGGTAGCCAGTCTGCAGACACCGAGCATGCTGGGTCAGTGGATGCTGTGCACACCAGACACGCAAGATAAAGAGACAGCCCTTTTGGGGAACCGTCAAGAGTTTAATTAATCTAATCAAAACTTCGGATCATGGTGAATTGACCTGAATATATCCTCAGAGAGAAGCCAACCTCTCCTCCCTTGATCTTTTTTTTTTTTCCCCTTAAATTTTTGGTCTTTTCTTCCTAGCAACAACGTCTCAGAGAAGATTAGATTCTCAAAGCGATTTCGGAAAACACGGCACAAGATCGCTCTGCTCCGTGACCCTGGAAGAAAAGCAGGGTAGGAAGCTCAGCAAGAAAAGAAAATTTCCCCCCCCCCCCCACCCCCTCTTTATTTTTAAATGCCTGCTCTTTTCACAAGAGCCAAGCTGTCTGTGCCCTAAGTAAGTTCACCGATCAGATGAGCTGAATTTTAAACCCTCATGTGACGGGCAGGCCATCAGCTGACCGCTCATGCTGTTTCCAGCACAAGCTCAGAGAGGACAACACATGTCCAGAGCCTGGCACCACAATAAAGCTATTCTACTGCAAGCATCCAGGCTTTGTGTTCCCCTGCAGAAGACAGGGCCGCTTCTGTAGTCCCCTGATATTTCTATCACCCTTCACATTTCCCCTTCCGCTCGGCAAAACCCGCTGGATAAAGACAAGAAACAGCATTGTCAAACCGGCCAGGCCGAGGGCTGACTGCGCTGACCACGACTTCTCACCAGACGCTGCTGCTGGTCACCAGGAACACGTTTCCACGCACAGAAAACATCTCATCGGCATTTGGTGGCAGAGAGCGAGAGCTCCAGCAGCTTCTGAAGGCAGCTGCTACACCGAGAAACCTCAGAGCAAAAGCACAGAGGAAAACATTGCCTGGTGGAAGCACGCTGCTGTCTTTCTCCAGCTCATAAATACCGCCTGGGTGTTATCGGCGTCGCAGCCCGGCTGCCGGCGAGGAAGCTGAACAGTGGAGCAAAGCAGGCGGGCACGGAGCGATGGAGCGCACAGGGCAGCTTGCGAGGGGCCTTGTGGCCCGAGAGGCTGGAAGCAGGATTCCCATTCGTCCGCTCGCCGTTAGAGCACAGACATCACGCCCGTTAACGGCTCTGCTGCTGCTCAAGGTAGCAGGGAAGAGGTGTGGGGATACCCAAAGCCTGTGGTTGGCTGTTTTGGGGGGTTATTTTTAACTGATGGCCTCAGCAGATTCAGGATTTGTTTTATTTTTCCTGCTTCTGCACAGGCTGGCGCAAACTGGTCCCTACAGACTTGAGTTCCTTTGGTCTCTAAAGGAGAAAGGCAGGGAAAGGAATGGTCAAAAAGGAGGAAAAGTAGGAAAAAAGTCCGTCACCGCTGCCTGGAGCAAGGAGTAGCCTAGAAGTGTACCCTCAGCAAGTTCACTGATGACACCAAACTGGGAGGAGTGGTGGATACACTGGCAGGCTGTGCTGCCATTCAGTGAGCCCTGGACAGGCTGGAGAGTTGGGCAGAGAGGAACCTGATGAGGTTCA